TATATATTTTTATTTTATTATTTTTTATAAGATAATTTTTTATTGATTTATTTTAAATTATAAAATAAAAATTATTTTTTAATTTAAAACTTCATATTTTTTAAGAAAAAGCATCATAATTATTACCCAATTATTATTTTTTATCTTATGTGTTAAGAGTATAGAATAGATAAATCTATGATTTAAACTTTAAATGTTTAAATTTAAGATGCCTGACTGTTAAAATCTTGATTTTATATTCACTTAATTTAACTTTGGAAGACAATAATACTTCTCCTTTTTTTTTTTTTATACTAAATCTCTCAACATTCAAAAGTCACATTAGACTTTGTAAAAGAGAAATACCTCTAATGCTTATCTCTCTATTCTCTTTATTTACAAAATTTAAATTTAAAATTTTATTTTAAAAAAATCAAGTTATTTCCACTTAAATCAATAGTGCATTATGATAATACTTCTCTTATGACACAAGTCCTTTGGCGTTTTGTGGCTGTTTTTTTTATGCTAGATGAGAAGTTAAGGGGCTGATTTGACATTTAAAAAACTATCAAGGCTCAATTTCTGATAACGAAAAATTTTGGAGCTAATTTGGAGTTTTTTTTATTTTTCTCTATTTTATCATTTTATGGGTCTATTTCGATTTTCGAATTGGGCCCAGCCCAAATGCCACATATAATGGACAGAAAACCGTAGTCTTACACGCCGGTGGCGGAATGATGTTCTTATTAGCCATGTTGCTCCGGAGTAGGCTCTCCCACCGGTTGAACCAGAGCCGGAGCTTCGTGGACGCGAAGGTCAAGTGGGTTCGTGACCCATACCTAGACCATGCGGTTGAGAGAGAGAAGGACCTCAAACAGATCCTCTCCCTCAAAAACCAAATCGTTTCTTCTCCGTCCAAATCCCTTCCCGTCGCTTCCATTTCTCCTCTCAAAGCCCATCTCAATCTCCCGACCACTGCCTCCAAACTTTTCCAGAAATTCCCCTCCTTTTTCTCCCAATTCCAGCCCTCTCCCTCCCTCCCTCTCCATGTCAAGCTCACCCCTCAAGCGATGACCCTCCACAAAGAAGAACTAGCCATTCACAGTTCGGCGTCTCACCGTACCGACGCCGTCAAAAGGCTGGCGAAGTTCTTGATGCTCACTAGAGCAACAAGACTGCCTCTGCATATCATAGACAGGTTCAAGTTTGATCTGGGTCTTCCTCATAATTACGTTGCTTTTCTTCTATCTGATTATCCTGATTATTTTCAAATTTGTGAAAGTGAAGACCTTTTTGGTGAAAAAGGGTCCCTTGTGCTGGAGCTTGTTTCCTGGAGGAATGAATTTGCGGTGTCTGAAATGGAATGGAGAAACGGGGGTGGTGTAACTGCACCGCACCTCGGACCTGCCCTTACAGGTGGGTTGGGCATGGAGAAAGGAATGCCCATAAGGTTTTCGATGCAATTACCAAGAGGGTTTGATTTGGAGAAGAAGGTTCAGAATTGGGTTCAGGAGTGGCAAAATTTGCCCTACATTTCACCATATGAGAATGCATTTCATCTGGGGCCAAGTAGTGATCAGGCTGAGAAGTGGACGGTGGCAGTGCTTCATGAACTGATGTGGCTCTTGGTGTCAAAGAAAACAGAGAGGGAGAATCTGTTTTGTTTAGGAGAGTACTTAGGCTTTGGGGATAGATTTAAGAAGGCATTGAGGCATCATCCAGGGATTTTTTACATTTCAAATAAGATTAGGACACAAACTGTGGTGCTTAGGGAAGCATATAGGAAGGACTTTTTGGTGGAGAAGCATCCATTAATGGGAATGAGATATAGGTACATTCATCTTATAAACAAGTCCGAGAAATGGAGAAACCATGGAAGTGCCTTAGCTTCTAGGAGTAAAAGACAAACAATGCCATCTGCTGGAAAAAGGAAAGCCAAGAAGGGATCTGATAAGAGCATGGAGGAAAGAGAGTCTAGTGGGTCATTGAATTTAGAGGTCGAAAATGATGCTGCTGACAAGGCAATCGAAATGGAGATATAGATAGAGAAGGTAAAATAATAAGGATGGTAACCTTTGACCTGGTTCTATCGAATTGGGATTTGAGATCGTGTAACATGATTTGTTTTTTGCATATTCCCCATGTTATTCTTAGAACTTGCACTATTTTGTTTTCCAGCCAAGGCTTTTGAAAATGCACCTGAATGGCCACGATGAGGATATATGATATGGCAACAGAAAATTTTAGAGGCACAAGCTGAGATAAAGGATTTGAACTTTACCTTTGGGATACCATAAACATAAAACTGGATGTAATAAGCAAAGCCAGTTTAATAGTTCAGAATTCTGATTGCTTTGGAATCTAGTGATGTTGCTATTGATGAAGCGGTGCTGCTGGAGAAATGAATGGAGGTAATAAAGAAATCTATTTTCATTTTGAGACAACTTCTGTGCATGAGCTATCATGGCAAAAAATTTCCCACATTCATTGGCAAGAAGGAAAAGATGCAAGAGGTATTGATCTAATGAGATGCAGCAGAGAATTGCTTGATGGTAGAAAACTGAGGGAGGGCTACCTCACAAGGACAGCAAGATTTTTTCTTAACAAATCTCAATGTGAAGAGACGTCATTTTGACAGGAGGACTATATTTTACGATCAGCTTTCTCCCAAGTTTGTTCTGTTTTAGAAATTTGATCATACCTTGATATTTCTGGAGCTTTTTTCATCTTCACTCTTTGATGTCCGGGTACGAAGCAACATTGACCAAGCTCCAGAAATATCAAGGTTTGGTCAAATTTTGCTGAAACAAAACAAAGTTGGGAGAAAGCAACATTGACCAAGCCATAGAGTTTTGTTGATATTTGATTAGTTTATTATTTTTTAACAGTTAATTATAATATATGAAAATATTTATTTATAAACTGATTTTCATTTATTAAGAGATAAATATAATTTATTCTATTAGTTATTAGTTTTTTCTAATAACTAAACTGATAAAATTTTAGTTAAAAATATATTAGCCTAACAGTAATACGCATGACCATCACCATAGTTTCACTTAGCACCTCCCTTGTCTGTAATATACCGTACTTTTTACTCGCTCCTTAGCCTTGATTATAATC